TGTCGCCTCCCTTCTTGCCTTTCGTTCGCTCCTCGGTCCCTTGCTTGGCCTCGTCTATTCGGTCCCCCTCGCTCGATCCCCTCTCCTGGTTCGGCCGTTGCGCCTTGCTGGTAGCGTGTCACACACTGCATAGACAGCGTACGAAGTCTCATTCGTCTTGTCAGCACGAGCGTATATAGCTGTAAATACACTTGAGGTGTAATGAGAGGTAGAGTCGCGCTCATAGTTTCCCACAAGCGTGTGGCACTGATACTCCATCCTCCCTCTTCCCTCCTGCTTCTTCCTTATCCTTCCCCCCCTCCCTCCCTCCCTCCTCCCTCCCTCTATCCCTCCCTCCTCCTCCTCCTCCTCCTCCTCCCCCTCCTCCTCCTCCTCCTCCTCCTCCTCCTCCTCCTCCTCCTCCCCCTCTTCCCCCGTCCTCCCCCTCTACCTGTTACGCATGGGATTACTGGAGGACGGGGCTACGGTGGCTGATGGTGGAGGGGGAAGCCAGAGAGAAGATGGCAGGAGAGCGTGGGAGAAAAGTGGTGCATGGGACTAGTGAGGGGAAGCGGAAGTGCTGGAGGAGTGGATTACCCCACCTTTTCGCGAGCAAGTGCGACAGGCGATGTTCCACCATTTTCGGTTCCTACGGACGTTGTCCTACTGGGCCCCTGGGCCGTCAAAAGCGGCCCAGGATGAAACGCCCGTCCCGGGGAAAGGGCTGGGATTTACAATGTCCACGGTCCATGTTGTAAAACACCACGACGTCGGAGGTCTCGGTGGAGCCTGATAGGGGAAGTCTAAGTGACCGGTCGACCAACTTCCTGGTTGCGTTCGCGCGTCATCCTGTTCGTTCCTGTCTCTCCACGTTTCTCTCCCGCCTGCCCCCTCCTTAGCCAGCCCCTTACAGGCGGGCAGCTGAAGAAAGAACCCTTTTCGTTGGAGAGGGGCTCAGTGCTGTTTGTCTTGGGTTGTCCCTCGGTTTCTTCTTGGGGAATTTGAATTTGAATAACGTGTGGAACACCAAGGGGCCCTTTTCCTTATTTAGGGATCCTTATGACAGCGACTCGACCGTACTTCCGCACGGCCGTTCCTCTTCTCGTCGCCCTTCCTTCATCCGTTCCCTCTTCTGTCCTTTTTGTTCCCCCTTTCCTGTCCCCATCCCCCCCTTCACGACAGGGGTCCCCAGATCTCGCCCTCACTGCGGAGGCATCAGGCGGCAGCGAGCACGGTGAGGCGCAGGAGCAGGGAGCAAGAGAGAAGAAGCTGGGACGGTGAGGCGAAGGAGGAGGAGGGGGGAGGGAGGAGTGCAGGATGCAGGACGGAGGATGAAAGAGGAGGAGGTTGAGGAAGAGGAGGAGGTGGAGGTGGAGGAGGAGGAGGGGGAGGGGGAAGGAGGAGGTGGAGGTGGAGAAGGAGGAGGAGGAGGAGGAGGAGGAGGAGGAGGGGGAGGAGGGTGGATGAGCAGGCCCTCCCTTTCCCATTCATGTTTTTTTGGAGTGAGAGGGGGTTCGGAGGCGCCTACGGCAACGCTCCGCTCGACACGGTGAGCGACTTCCTCGACGCACGCCTCCCCCCAGCCGCTTGTGCTCGCCCCCCCTCCTCTTTGCACGGGGAGGAGGAGGCGGACATTGATCCTGACGGTGAGGGGTTTGGAGTTTTTTCGCCGTCTTCGACCCCCCAGAGATTTCCCAGAGAGCCTCCTGGTCCATGTGGCAGTCAAGGAATCACTCAGGATTAAAAAGCTGGGCCAGCGTCCCTCGGGACTTGTCATGCCGCGTGCCAGAACTCCAGAGCTTCCTGCGTCTGGGAGCCTAGAGACGATGCTGGCTGCTTTTCGGGGGAGGCTCCTGGCGCCACGGCTTCATTCTTTTTTGGGATCCCGGTCGGGACGGGCTCCGGGGACACGGGTCCGGGGGTCGACCCCGGGGCACGGGTCCAAGCCTTCCAGCGTCCTTGGGAATTCGAGGAGCAAGTAGTGGGCACCTCCAGGGCACAAGTACTCTATGGTATCCAACACGGCCCTTGTTCAGAGCACGCAGCGCGGAGCCCCGCGACAGTGATACATGTGAGGCAGGCCGCTTTTTTGCTGCTTGTTTTCAGGTGGAAGCGCCGTATGCATGTGCACATGGCTTGAATGCTTGCCTCGCTTCGCCGATCTATCAATAGTGTTCCAGTGAGTGCTACGCATGGAGCAGGAGCTGGAAAGTTGAGGGTGGCCCTAAGCGATGTTGGAAAAAAATGACCTGGCAAGTGGCCTGGCTTGTGAAGAGAAGCGGTGTCTGGCGCACGTTGCGTGTACGCCGTTGTTTTCTCCCCCCCCCCGAAGACTGGCTCCTGGCCCAGATGCTATGCCATGTATTAGTTTACGCTGGCTGTACTGTGTTGATTGTGGTACGCGAGGCAAGCGTCTATGGCACGATCTGCAGTCCACCGCTCGGCGTGTCGGCGGCACTAGGCTTGGGTGAGCTGCGTCCGAAGATCTGTCCTGCAGTTGCGAACTTCTTTGCACACACGATATGTAAAGCTATGCGGTGCAAGCCATGTTGTGCAGGCCACGTGGTGCAACACACATATCTACATATATTTGTATATGCATATATATATACGCATATATACTTATAAATGTGTATATATGTGTGTGTGTGGTGCAAGCTGTGTGGCGCCAGCTATATTATGCAAGCTATGTGGTTCAAGGTATGTGGGGCAAGCTATGTGGTGCAAGCCATGTGGTGCAAGGCATGTGGTGCAAGCTATTTGGTACAAGCTATATCGTGTCGTCTATGTGGTGTCGTCTATGAGATGCACTATATTCGATGCAATAGCTGCTGTGTGATCCGTGTGGCGCAAGCTATATGGTGTCATCTAGGTCGTGAAAGCTGTAATCGAAGCGACAGCCAGCGGACGAGGCGTCTACGGGGTGCCCACGGGAACTCCAGCTGGCGCTGGAGGCGCCGACAACGCGTTCAAGGGTGGTAACGTAGCGAAAACCCAGCATAACCACCCAGAGCACGAGGCGCCAACGTAGCGAAAATCCGGAACATCCACCCAGCGTTCGAGATGCTTTCAATGCGTCCACATGGCGACTTGGCGAACCCCCAGAACACCCATCCAACTTATGTAAGATGCCAAGCATGGGCCGGGGAAGTCGACAACACCAAAAGGGAGCGGCGGGAACGAGGATGCTGATGTCTTCTTGGGTAACCTTGGGGCCTCGTGGGGCCACCTTGGGGACCACCTTGGGGACCATTCTGGGGTCTCTCGGGGCCTCGTATGGCCCTTTCGGCTTCTGAGAGGGCGCAGGTGTGCGGTGATGCGGGCGAATGGCTGAAGAAAGCCGCGGTGCCCTGGAGAGGTGGCTGGGCTTGGCTGGGGGGAAGGGACGGCGAGGAGAGCGCAGGCCGTGCTGCGAAGGAGCAGCATGAGCGCCTGGGCGCCTGGACGGTAGGATCCAGGGCTCCGGTCCCCCCCCCTCCAAGGCTAACGTCAAGCAGTGGCGAAGCGTCCTGGCTCGCCTATAGGCCTACCAGTGAATGTTCTAAGAACCTTTCACGGTTTGCACGACGTGTTCTTAGAACAGTTCTTGCTGGGACTGTCTTGTTTCAACACGTCGGGTTCATGTTCTCCGAACTTCGGTCTTGTTCTCAGAACATTTCTGGGTTCGAAGAAAATTTCGTGGTAGGCCTACAGGAATGCCGGGACGGTCGGTCCCTGCTCAATACTAGGATTTGGCCCCCCCTCCCCCCGCTGGATGGGTACGCCCTTGAGCCTCGCGAAGGCCTCGCGAATGGGATCCCCCGCCCTGTGGTCGTAGCCTTGTGGGCGTGGCGTGGACGAGGGTGGGCGTTGCCGTCTTCGTCGTCGTCGTCGTCGTCGCTGTCGTCGTCGTCGTCGTCAGTGTCAGCGTCAGCGTCGTCGTCGTCGTCGACGTCGTCTTCCGTCGGCGGCGGCGGCATCGTCGTCATCGTCGTCGTCAACGTCGTCGTCGTAATCGTCGTCGTCAGCGCTGTCGACGTCGACGTCGTCGTCGGCGTCGGCGGCGGCGTCGGCGTCGGCGTCGGCGTCGGCGTCGGCGTTGTATTGGGCGTTGTAGTCGTCGTTTTCGCCGTGGTCGTCGTCGTCGTCGTCGTCGTCGTCGTCGTCGCCGACGTCCCCCCATCCTATCTGGGTGGGTTCGGCATGTGGAACCTCAGGACCCATCCCATCGTGGGGGAGATGTAAACCCTCGACCCAGGATCATAAATCACAAAAGTCGCTGGCCCGACTGGCCACCGGCGGGGCAGCCCTGGTCACCATGGGAACGAAAGTGTTTTCTCCTTTTGAGGGCGCGAGGGGATGCCCTGCTTGGCTTGTCTTGGGCCCTCCCGAGGCCTGGCGAGGGCCCCCGGAGGCCGAAAACAGTGAAGAACCGCCCGCTCTGAGTTTTTCGGAGCGTCGGATCTCTAGGTGGGTCCCGAGTCCCCCAGGATCTCTCCAGGTAGCACCAGGAGGGCCTTGGGAGGCCCCAGGGGGGCCCGAAGAGCTGACCCCAAAAAGGCCTGCACGCGGCCCGACGGGCTCGCGAAGACGGCCGGAGAGGCCCACAAGGGGATTTGCCCGACGCCCCAAAGAGGCAAGAGGCACACATCATTGCTCGTCTTACGGGCCTCGTGCGACTCTAGTGTGCTCGCATTTTCTGCCTTCGGAGCGCCCAAGACGGCCCAAGAGGCCTTCAAGATTGCCCCCAGAGGGAACCAAGAACGGCCGAAGATGGGCCCAAGACAGCCCAAGAGGGCGCCAAGACGCCCCTCGAGCGCTCCAGAGGGGCTCCAGACAACCCAGAGAGCCTCAGGACAGCCCCAACGAGGCCCTGGAACGCCCCAGACACAGAAAATGAGGAATCAAGGATGACAGTTTGCTGCACCTTGGGCCTCCAGGGCCAAGAGTGCCCCAGGAGGGGCTCCATACAACCCAGAGAGCCCCAAGACAGTCCCAACGGGGCCCTGGAACGCCCCAAGTGCAGAATAACTCAGACCCGCAGCCATTTGGGCTCAAGTTAGGCTCGAGCCATCCGCCCCACCCCCTTCCTCCGAGGGACGTCCTCGCGCAACCCCTGACACCGGCGCCGGGCAGCCATGCAGCCGCTGGGCCGCTCGCGGGCGAGGGCGGGCACGAGCTGGTGCCTGGCCGCCGCGGCCGCGGCCGCCTGGTGCTCGGCGAGGTGCCTCGTCGCCCCGACGGGCCCCGCCGGGCTCCGCCCCGCGCCGCGGGCGGACGTCGCCCGCGGCTACGAGCGGGGGGGCGCCGAGGGCGGCACCGGGGCAGGGGCGGATACGCACGAAGGCGGCAGCGGCGGCTCCGAGCAGGACGTGCTGGCCATGTGGGACGGCGTCGGCAGCGACACCGGGGCAGGGGCGCACGAAGGCGGCAGCGGCGGCTCCGAGCAGGACGTGCTGGCCATGTGGGACAGCGTCGGCAGCGACACCGGGGCAGGGGCGCACGAAGGCGGCAGCGGCGGCTCCGAGCAGGACGTGCTGGCCATGTGGGACAGCGTCGGCAGCGACACCGGGGCAGGGGCGCACGAAGGCGGCAGCGGCGGCTCCGAGCAGGACGTGCTGGCCATGTGGGACAGCGTCGGCAGCGACACCGGGGCAGGGGCGCACGAAGGCGGCAGCGGCGGCTCCGAGCAGGACGTGCTGGCCATGTGGGACAGCGTCGGCAGCGACACCGGGGCAGGGGCGCACGAAGGCGGCAGCGGCGGCTCCGAGCAGGACGTGCTGGCCATGTGGGACAGCGTCGGCAGCGACACCGGGGCAGGGGCGCACGAAGGCGGCAGCGGCGGCTCCGAGCAGGACGTGCTGGCCATGTGGGACAGCGTCGGCAGCGACACCGGGGCAGGGGCGCACGAAGGCGGCAGCGGCGGCTCCGAGCAGGACGTGCTGGCCATGTGGGACAGCGTCGGCAGCGACACCGGGGCAGGGGCGCACGAAGGCGGCCCCCATGGATCACCTGAACTGTTGAGCTCGTGGGATAGTCTGGGCAGCGCAACCGGAGGGCAGCCCTATCAAAGCGGTGGCCACGATACAGGTTCTGGCCAGCGCCTCGTCGGCTTCGGAAAGCACAGGGACTTAACCTACCAGGAGGCTTTGAGTCAGGATCCTAACTATTGTGACTGGGTCATGCGAGAAAGCAAGAGCTCCGACGCCTCCCCGATGGTCATGGATTTTGTCCATTGGCTGGAGCAGAACGTTCCGTCCGCTGGCGGTGGCGCTCCCGCCAATGGCTTCGACCTGGGGTCTTCAAGCGACCCGAGTGGCTGGCTGCCCGCTGTGGAGCCCAGCGGGGACGCGGGCCAGCGCCTCGTCGGTTTCGGAAAGCACAGGGACTTAACCTACCAGGAGGCTTTGAGTCAGGATCCTCAGTATTGTGACTGGGTCATGCGAGAAAGCAAGAGCTCCGACGCCACCCCGATGCTCATGGATGATTTTGCTCATTGGCTGGAGCAGAACGTTCCGTCCGCTGGCGGCGGCGCTCCCGCCAATGGCTTCGACCAGGGGTCCGCAAGCGACCCGAGTGGCTGGCTGCCCGCTGTGGAGCCCAGCGGGGACTCAAATCCCAAGGTAGGCTTCGGAAAACACAAGCATCTGACCTACGAGGAGGCCTTGGTAATGGATAAACGTTACTGCCAGTGGGTGGTGACGTTCATGGAGTCGAAAGAGGACCCCATCCCGACTATGGTAGAGTTTGCTAAGTGGCTGCGGGAGAGGGGGATCGAGCCGGGCACATAATTCTTTGACTCGCGCGGATGCCCCCTGCTCGAGACAAGACTCACCTCGAGGCTCCTTCTGGCTCAGTGAGAGGCACGTTTGCAGGGGAGCTCCTCCTCCTCGTCCTCTGCCCTCCTCTCCTCCTCTTCCTCCTCCTTCCTCCTTCCCCTCTGATTCTCCGCTTGCGCCTGTCGCAATCGAAGGCCAAAGGCGGGGCCTGTCGTACAGGGGGGCTGGCTGGCGCGGCCCCGCTTCGGGATATCGGAGGCGCAATGCTTCTCCCTGGTGGCGGTTGAGGCCGCATCGCGTCAGCAGGGCTGGCACGAGCCATGCGATCAGCTTCTGCGTGCGAGACTGTACGTGCTAGGCGAGGGTGCGCCTCGGTTTGCTTCTGTGAGCCGTCGCTGCGGCCAGCACTGCGGACTCGCCATGCTTGTCCGCCGATCGCCGCCGGGTTTTGAGAGAAACAAAGAAGTGCAGAACAATCAAGAGTCAGGGGTGACATCTCATGGCACCTCGGGCCTCCAGGGGACTGTCTTGGGGCCCAGGGGGGTCCGCGAGACATGAGAGCACACCGCGTAAGGTGAGTGCGAAAGATGAGGTCGAGAGAGACCAATTGGGTGAATGCTCCTCTCTCGGGGCTGCCCGGACGTCCGATCTGCTGGCGACTCGCGCGCCCGAACGCCCCATCTCAGGGGACAAGCTTTCAGTCGAGCACGTCCCTCTACATGAGGAGCACTCCAAAATAGTACATGACATCGTCTGGGGGCGATTTGTCGATTATTTGTCTACCAGTTTTGATCACTCTGGGATTCTGTTTTGTTCGGAACGAGCTCGCCCGCAGGAGGACATGCCCGACCCGAGACGAGCTGCTCATCCCAGGCCGGCTCCCGATGCCCCCGGGGGGCCCGGAGCAGGCCTCCAGAGGCTTGGGGGCACCAGAACGCTGCAGTGGCCACACCGCACGTACATGGTTCAGGAGGGAACAAAAACACACAGACACAATGAATCGTCGATCCCCCAGAAAGTGTGGGAAAATGTGGGAAGTGGGGGGGAAGACAAAAACCCAGAAAATATATGGGAGAGTGTGGGGAATCTTTTGACTTGTGTGTATTCCTTTGTGTGTCCTGGGGTCCTTTCAATGATGGGTGAGCCAGGGGGGGGGGCATTCGGGGTGACCGCACGGCCTCGGGACTCGGGCCGTGCTCCGAGGATGCCTCGGGCCACTGCGGGGCCTTCGGGCTCCGACGGCCGTGCGGCGAGGGCCCGTGCGGGGGGTCGCGGGCGGTTCTTCCCCCCCAAATCCCCGAGCTCCGCTCATGTGCGTCACTTACGGGCCCCAGGCCATTTCTGATTTCACCACGTCGAGGGATTCTTGCACATTTGCTTTTCCAGCGAGCCCGACCGCCCTCCAGGGGTCCGGGCGCGGGCGCCCCCCGCACCGCTGCTCCCCGCTGCCCACAATCCCCGAGCTCCGCTTGAAGAGTTTGGCCGTTCAGAACAAGGGGAGAACTTTGGGATACATCCCAAGGGGGCTGCATCCGGACGCACACCTCATCGAAGATGGTCGCCTCCCCATCGTGTGTCCCATGGTTGGGCCCCGAGTGTCTGGCCCATTCAAAAACCTTCCAGAGCCTGGGAGGTTCCCAGACCCCCGACGTTGTGATTTTTGTCGACACGTCGACCCCCAGAGGTCTGGACCCCTTCCTGGGGGACCGGTTTTTCATCCTGCATCGTTTTTTGACGGTCCCGATGCCCAGGAAGGGCTCCCGGAGGCCGAAAGCAGCGAAGAACCTCCCATCGTGATTTTTGTCATGGCTCGAGGGGGTCTGGGGTTAGTGAGGTCCGGGGAGGGGGTTCGAGGTCACCGCACGGCTTGTCGCCGCACCGCTTCGGGACTCCCACAGATCGGGACGATCGAAAGGGGTACGGAAAGAATGGGTACGATGCCCAACAGCAGTTCCTGCTCCTTTTGAAGAGGACCCGCTGTCCGCGCCGCCGCGAACGCCGCTCACTGAAGACACGAAGCTTCCTGTCCAACAGCGGCCGCTGTCGGTCTTGGACCACATTTGTTGTTGGGCATTGCACCCATTTTGTCCGTGCCCATTTCCCTGGCATCGCTCGGACGTGTGCATTCGTCCTTCGGCGAGAACCACTGAGGACGATCCTGGACCCTCGAGCCAAAAAAAAACACGCACGAAAAAACGAAACATGCACAGGAAAGGGACGCCCGAGCGATGGCGAGTTCCGGGCGTCCGAAGCAGAGGCCCACGACCGCCGACCGCCGCGCCCCCCCGATCCCCTGCGAGCGAGGGGGCCCTATAGACCCGGAGCGCCGCGGGGGCGCGGCGGGCGGGCGGGCGCATGCGGCGGCCAGGGCGCGGGGCTGCGGGACGCTCCAGGGCGCTCCGGGGCGCTCCGAGGAGGCCGCGGCGCCCGAGGCAGCCGGACCGCAGAGTCCCCAGAGAGAGATCTGACGCTCCGACAGAGATTCGGGCAGGCGGTGTGGGGTCGTGTTCTCGGCCTCCGCGGGCCCTCGCTGGGCCTCGGCCGCGCGTCAAGGAGCGACTCCGGAGGAGGAGCCCGCGGCACCTCTCCGAGGCATCCCTGTCCGATGTGTTCCTTGTCTTGGCTGAGGCCGGGATGAGACACCACGCGTTTTTTGCGACCACTTGCTGCCATATACGGAAAGAGGCGTGTGATGCCTCGTGTGAAGGCCTTGCGGCCAGTGCCGCCGACCCTGAGGGTGGGACCTCCCCCCGGACCCCCAGGGGCGACCCCCCTTCCTGGTACCCTTATTATGTCGGGCCTGTCCCCCTACAGGGGGAATTTCGACGGGGAAAAAAACAAATACCCCCAAAATACCCCCCAAAGAGCAAAACAATACTCAGAACATAGTCCCCAGACCATTTTTGGACTATTGTTTGATTATTTTTGGTGTATTTCTTATTTTTCGTCGACAACCCCCCTGTGGGGGGACAGGCCCGACCTAATGGTACGCCTTGTTCACCAGGGGGGCCAGGGAGGGGAGGGGGGGCCGCCGGGACTCCGGGGGGCGGCAAGCTGACCCGGGACACCCTGCCGACCACCCACCCCCCCGTGCCGTGCTCCCATACCGTGCCCCCGGTGCCTCTCCTCCCCCCCCCGTCAAGGTGGGGAAACAGTGGAGGGAAGCTACTCAACTACGACGTTGCTTTTTTGTGTTTGTTCTGGATTTCCTTTTCTGTGTTTGTTCTTTTCCCCCCCGTCAAGTCGGAGGTGGATAGACCTCC